GGAAATATCGTCGACCTTCTCATTGTCAACTTCTGCCACTGCCCCTTCCTTGTCTGCAGCCCGTTGAGCTTCCTTCTCCTTTCTTCTCTTACGCTTCCTGGCCAAGCTCTTTTGTACCTCGGTCGCTGAGCGGATGCGCCAGATTTCTATTGCCTTCTCCGAGCCATGGAACCCGATATAGTCAGCGCGCGGGTGAAAGCTGATACCAATCGTTCGATCCTTGCCGTTCCGATAAAGCGTCCCTCTGTCCGTCAGAATTTTGCGACCTTCAGAACCAACTTTCTCCCGCGAAATCTCTAGCATAGCGCTTTCGTCAATCGACCAAACCTTGAGTTCTCCATCGTTTCCTGCGGTGATACAGCCGCTTTGATCGGGGGAGAGGCCCAAGCTCCAACACTCGCCGTTCGATTGGGCCACATGTGTCTCAATACAGTGTTGCGTAGCCAGATCCCAGACCTTGATTAAGGAGTCCTTGCCGGTGGTGAGCAAAAATCCCGCGTGTTCACTCAGTCCAGCGGCTTGCAGCAATTCGGAAGACAGATTGAGGAAATGGAGCGAGGTGACTTGGTCGGTGTGTCCGCGCAGCTTGAAAAGCCCAACTTCCGCTAGCAAGTCCCACACAACGATATCCGTGTCCTTCGAGCCACTAGCAACGCGCACACCGGCAGCATCGAATGCGAGTTGAGTAACGGCCGATTTGTGGCCGTTGAACGAAATGATCACGGTCTCTGTTCTCGAGTCCCAGATACGAATACTTCCATCATCGTACCTAAATAGAACCGATCCTGAATGTAAGCATCATGTAGATGAATGTCCCATCTCTGATAAAAAGGAAAAAGACCTACCCGACAGCGAAAACGTCCTCATCCGTCTTACTTTGAGTGATCACAGTCACCTGCGCTTTGCAGGATGTGTCGCGCCACCGTCCAAGTAAATCGCCTTTCTTGACGTCCCAGCAGAGAACCTCTTCACCGGCACCGACAATGGCCCTTCCAGCGCCTGTGCGGCGCGCAGTACCAGCGAGGTCATCGTCTCGCGTCCAAATCGCATTCGACGAACCCGACGCAACGAGCCCGAAAGTATTCGAATGCTCGAATTTCCTACAAAAATTAGTGCCTCACGTTCAAAATTCCACCATGCACAAATTTGCCGAACAAGACTGCACATACAAATATGATTTCACCATCGTTGGAATGCCCAAGTCGATAGCAAGGAAAATTTACGAGCTCCGAGACTGGCTGCTATCGATAGGCCAAAATGCGCCAGAAAAAAACTACGGGCGGCGAGAGCAACCACCCCGGACAAATCCCCACCGCCTGCCGTCATTCCCCCTCAGGCACCCAGTCAACCCGACTCATCAACTTGGTTCACTATTTACAGGTGCCTAAAAGATACTATCTTTTCTATCGGAATTGACTGAGCTGCGATACACAGTCTGTCGTCATGCTTTTGCTTGATTATCAGAACGTTCTCATTCAGAACCTCCTGACGGAGCGGTTCTCCGGGTATAGCTGTCCCCTCCCCGCCTCCTTTGGTATATGCAGGTCCCGGCCTTTACAACTTCAGCTAACGAATTGAATTTTCTGCTTGTTGCAATAGAGGCGCGCCGGTTTCAATTGACCAAGTTGTTTCTGACTTTGACGGAGTGACCTTCCACCTGTCGACGCCAGAGTCGAAAAGCAAGATCCTTATCTCCATCCACGTGAAATGCTTCAAAGAGCTGGTTCAATACGGTGCCCAAGAGGTACTGGAAAGAGAATATGGACCCTACATCGTCACACCAGAGCCTGGCTATGACTTCTCGGTACAGATTGACTTAGAGAACCTGCCTGCAGAGCAGGAAGCTCGGGACGAGCTCATCATGCGGCTTGCCTTGCTGAAGCGTAATGCCATGGCTGCTCCGTTCGAAAGGGCGTTCGACGAATTCGCAAAGCTGTCAGAGGAGGCATCTAGATACACGTCGGAGTCCGCACCCCAGGGAGTCAAGGAAGGTGGGGAGTTGATGGCAATTCATTACCGGGAAGAGGAAGCAATCTACATCAAGGCCAGTCATGACCGGGTCACAGTGATCTTTAGCACTGTTTTCCGCGAAGAGACGGATCGTATCTTTGGCAAAGTCTTCTTACAGGAGTTTGTCGACGCGAGAAGACGCGTGGTGACGTTGCAGAATGCGCCCCAAGTGCTCTTCCGCAGCGACCCTCCGCTGGAGCTTCAGGGGGTCCCTGGTCTGCAGACAGCTGGGGACGGTAAAATGAGTTATGTCACTTTCGGTAAGCAAATCTCATTGCCTATGTCGCGAGCCTTGACTGACAGCTCATAGTCCTTTTCCCTCGACACCTGACTCCTCAGCGACGCTACGAAAATATCTCTCACATCCAAACCTTCCGTGACTATTTCCATTACCACATCAAGGCGTCCAAGGTAGGCTTCAATGATGTCATTGTTTCCCTTCTCCAATGCACTGACTCTGTATAGGCATATATTCACACTAGAATGCGTAAGAGGACAGCAGACTTCCTCCAAGGTGAGTCGCAATGGATACCGCGGCCTAGTTCGTTGCTAACAATAACGACTAGTCCTCAACAGAGCTCGACCTGAAAACGAGGAGCGGGAGCGAAAGACGGCCAGCGGTCGTACGTTTAGGGTTCATGGATAGAGCGGTCAATCGTGTTTCTTGTTGTATATTACGGCTCGAAGGCAGTACGAAGCATTTGAAGCTGAACAAGGAAAGTGCACATACAATTCTACTAATTACAGAGAGCATATTATCGTACGATTATTTGGCCGTTTCAGCAATAGGCAAGGGGGTGTCTGACGACGATTTGACGTGTCTCAGAGGATTTGGACGCATTCTTGCCGTAGTTTCAGTTGTAATTGCTTTTTTCCCCTTTGCAGGGTATCCATGATCAAGGATCCATCTGTCAATCTGCACGAGGTGGATATCCACCTGGACAATCATCCTGGTTTCTTCGTGTCTACAGACTTCACCGCAATCTTGGCTTCCTCTTGAGACTTGTGGATCTCGTTCGGGCCCCTACTACTTCTTGGTATCTGTCGTCCTTGCTTCCTTAGGGTAAATGTGTGTTTGTACCAGCCTCTCGATCACAGCCAACGCACGTGTGACAACGTTCTTATTGCAGGGAGCATCCCTCAGAGTATGGCACTGGCACTGCAGAATCTTTAGGCTGCGAAGATACCAAAGAATGCTCAATCAAGCACCCCCAAGAAAAAGCAACGGACTTGGTGAATTCAAGTAGCAGATGCCTGATTTATTGCCAAGTTACTCAATTGCGATTTGCGACCAGTAGACTGGCGGATGCCAGGCAGTAGTCTAAGGGAGCAGCACCCTGGCAGCTGTACTCATTTGATCTGGGCGCTACGAATATCCCACCAATGGCGCCCGAAATGCCCTTGGTCGTGTCGCCGACCAAGCCGCAGGATGCTAGTGTTTCGATTGGGTATATGGAACCGACAGCCTGGGTCAGAGTCGCACCGGGCATGCAGTTGAATCTGGTCCCTTGGTATCATTGGTATGTCCGTTGAGCAGATGATCAGATCTGTGTCGGCGACTGACGGAGGAACACAAAAACGCTGATGCATGATTCAGATATCTGTCACAAGCCACAACCAATACTAGTGACTTGTGTGATCTTTGTCGCCTTTCTAATAACTCTAACTACAATTCCAGTTAGCGTGTCAGGACTGAAGGAGTTCGGATCGCTGTGCGGTTTCTGCGCAGCAAATGGCCTGCCCTACTTGGGCTTTAGACTTCGTGGCAGAATCAAAAATATAGAACCATGTCTCGGGGACATATTTTAGTAAAAAGAAAACATCCAGAATAAAAATGGAACACAGGATTCAGGTGCTTACACTCAATCCTATTCGGCGAAGTTGACGGTCATCCTTTGCTCTTGCATTCTCTTCGACAACTTGTCGCAAGGGGTCAATAAGCACCCACACGATTATCCTAAGTCCAAACAGCGTGTGTAGTGCTGTGCCAGAAGCTCATACAGGAGCATCGTTGTCATTGTCTTCTCTGTTCTCCCTCTTTCTGCAGCTATACGTCCCTTCCCATGTGGAGGAACACGTAACCAGTTGACGAGCGAACATGGTGTGCTGCCAGCTGCCACATAATCCCATAAATAAGTGAGAGAGACTTCCAAATTGAGACTCGAAGCGTCTATCGAGATTGATGCCAACTTTCATTGTCTTGGTTGCCTCGCCTAAGGCACATTGTTCTGTTGTTGCCTTATACAGACTGTCATCATTCTTTGTCTTATTTGGCACATTCCTGGACAGCCTCAAAGTCGAGGATTCCTCGGAGAATATATCATCAGGACTGAATATTGATGGAAAAGAACAAGGCAGGAGAACCATATTACTCCAGAGAAAGGAAAGGGGTGATTGAGAAAGTTGGAAAGTTCCGCTAGTTGCAAGAAACAGGAGGAGCGCACATCGATACAGCTTGGAGGTTCAACTTTTGGTCATTTACGAAATTGAACAAATTCCCAAATCTTACTCACTCGGCTCAGTGAAAATACCTCACCGGCTATCATCATCTGTGCCATTGATAATACGCCAAAGATAGAAACGCAGGGTATTTACCAAGGCCTTCACTCGCATCTGTTCCACTATACTGCGTCTAGCACTACGATCAGGCTCCTCTAGGTAAGTGTCTACATGAAGTCGAAGGCATTTATGTTTGGTTTCTTTTTGATTGAGGCATCATCTCTTTTTTCTACACCATGTTGATCTTGAAATCCCTAGGTTGTTTAACCACCGTATGCTGAACATCACACTGTTTACATAGGCAATAGATGCTCCTCATCTTTACGCCTAATCAACGTTCCTTGGAGCAATCATTCTGTGCTTCAGCTGTGGCCTCTATATTGCTTCTGCTGAAGAAACAAACAACGAAACCGGGTTAAACGTAGGACGGTGACGACTTCAGGAATTGCAAGCAGTGTTCGTTGACGGCGTCGAGAATACTCTGGTTCAATATGTCGGACAAGATCAGCTTCCTACCATTAGAGGTACTTCTCTCCATCCTGGCGTACCTACCTTTTGAGTCTCTCCTCGCCTTCGGAGAAACATCTCGCACGAATTTCAAGTCTCACGCCCTTTGCCTGAGACGTCTTCGAGTCGGAGTCTTCGAAAAGCGAGTCCATTCCATGATCTCTCTACTTCAGGCAGGGTGGGCTACACCCGATCAACTTTCTTCGTCTCATGAGAGCGATGGTTCCAGGAGTGACTATACAATTTCCGTGATCCAACCAGGCGCCTATGCAAAGCAAGGATTGGACGGAAAGCCACATGCTAAATGCAAGCTGCAAAGAAAGCGGGACATAAGGCCACAAGACGCTCAGGAGCAGACGATACAAGCACAGAACAAAGTTCTCGCGCGACTTATGAATCGATACGGGCCTTCGTTGGTCAAGCTTGAGTTCATGGCCTACGATCTTGATCTCGATGGAGCAAAAGCGCTCGGCACCAGATGTAGACACGCGCTGCGCTATCTGGCACTGCGTTTTGAGCATCCACATATCCGCGACGGGCCGATGAGACCAACCGCTTGGTATTATCCTGCGCCGGGTAGCACTGCTTGGAACTTACTCGCAGGCATAGGGAACCCCAAGGACATCGGGATTACCGGACTTGAGACTCTGATATTGGAACGATCAGGCATCACGCCCTGGCAGTTGGCGATGCTTGTGGGGAAGAATCCTAGGCTGAGAGTCTTGAAGCTGAGGACGTGCCGTGGTGCCCAGCCCGAGTTTTTGGATTGGCTTGGAGGCGTTCAAAAGGATAAAGACGATGCAGCGATAGAAGGGCAGAGACTGGCACCTGGTGCGAAGCTCGAAGTTCTCTGGCTGGAGAATTGCCACCGTTTACTAAGCCATCCAATAGATGAGCAAAAAGGTAAGCAGTTTCCAGACAGCTCCTGTGATGAGGGCTTTGAATGGGTCAGAAATCTGTCAAACTTGCAAGTAAGTTCCTCTCTCGACGCCACGCCCTTTCCAGTAGTTGGCTCTTCTTCTCGCAACTCCGGCCACAAGCTGATAATTCTTCCCTCCAGTCTCTTTCTTTCAGGGAGTGTGCATGTATATCGTCCGAGTACGTCGACAGGGCTAACAAAGCCATCTGGAAGATAGCAGAAGTCATTCTGCCATATGCCTTTGTTACACAGAATTCAGCTATGGAAGTTGATCCTCTTCTTTCATAGCTCATGTATGAAATTGTCCTCTGTTGTTAATAGACCATGATGCTCTTCTGTGCATTGTTCATCTTTCTCACCTCATGAATCACAGTATGGTCATGTCTATTCTATCCTATATGGCAGCCATGAACAGTTGAAGTCGACCCTGTCTGTTCTTGTAGCCTTATGGTCTCCTTATCACTACCAGAAGAATAATTAGATTAATGTTAGGTATATGTCCCATAAGTTCTCTTATCAAAAGAAGCTATGCAAGACTTAGTGGTCAACAATGTTCTCGCATGTCGATTCCTCTGCTTCGCTCTGAAGCAATATCATGACTATTTATGCTCAGTAGCTTGATATGTCGCTTCTTAAGGGTGATCTAATGTAAGAAAGCTTTTTACGACCGTCTCTGACGATAGTTATAGACGCTCAACCATGTCTTTCACAGTGAAGTGGCATTTATGTACCAGCTCCTCAGGGACAACATTCACTGACCAGAAGCAAAGCACGTCGCTCAACACAAACACCCAAAAGCACTCAACTTCCCTGTCCAGTTCTCACCACATACCCAGCCGCACTTTCTCAGTGCTCAACCACGCGGCTTGACTGCAGACCCGCAATTCATAAACAACGCAGTGATCTCTACCAACCATGCGTAGATCAAGCTCTAGCTCTCACTCCTGGCAGACTGCCTTGCAGAAGGTATTCCGCAGACGCTCATCTGAGTCGAAGGGTAAACAACCTGCTTCGGATGATGATTTCGAAATCGGCGAGCACAAGGACGGCTTCTACAAGTACTCTCAAGAGATGCTCGAAGAGAAAAAGGGAAGATTCGAGCCTCGCGCGATGCGTGCTTCAGGCAGTGCCGAAGTTACATACATGAGTACTTCAAACAGGGCCGAAGTTTCTTACATGCGTGGTTCTGATAGTACCGAAGCTTCTTACGCTTCAGCTGTAAGTGGACTCGACATCCTTAGCAGGCAGTTTGCCAAACAGCGCTAGGGGGAAAGAAACTAACAGAAAGTCAGCAGATGTCACCCATCGAAACTCCGACTCTTCCTTATACCATCGGCTCGTCTGAATGGCACTCTTTCGCTGCCCGTGAACAGCTTCTCGATAATCCTTACGGCAGGGCGGCTGCAGAGAAATTTGGCAGTGTCATCAGCGTCTTCTCGAAGGTTTACACCATTGCCAAAATCCTTGCTTGGGCACTCAGGACGTATGGCGTGGAGGTAAGCAGGATAAGCCCTAAGATCTTCCAGTGAACTTTGTAGACCAGCACAGAAAACTGATGAGTGGCTTTCCCTCCCCGCAGTTAGACGACGCTCCTGGAGGTATTCTGGCTCGCCTCAAGGACGCAGAAGCTGTTGTGAATACAGACTCTCTTGCTGAACTCATCGGGGGCACCGAAATGCTTTATTATTCTCTGTATGCGAGACTGGTTATGGAGATTGCCAACGTTGAGCTCTGTGGTCACTACGACCTTAACCTGCGGCGCATGCTCATTAAAGAAACGTTCACCCTTCCCGAAACTAGTCATCTCCGCGACATATTCATAACATTCAAGGACGTCCTGGACGCCCCGGAAGTTTGCAGTGGTCTTGATTACGACCTTGTTAAGCAGCACCAGGACTCGATCATTTGCCATGCTACCGACAAGCTTGCCATCACTGGCTTCTCTGCGCACGATCTTATCGGTTATCGTACCTCCATCTTGAAGATTGTCTCCGACGAAACTCATCCTTTCGTTCTGAAGTGGAGAGGCCTCGTTTACCTGTATCGGATGCCGGGCGTCGAAACTATCACCGTGATGTCGGAGAAGTACCTGACTATCATGCCAAAGGTGACGGCTACCGATGACTTTCCAGCGACTGAACTCCCGTTCGTCAACCGCGACTCAATTCAGCTAGAAATTTGGCAGCGCGAGAACGTCCTTGATAACCGTCAGGCGACCCTGGCGAAGCTCGAGGGCAGCAGCGTCGGAGACATCAGACGCGATGACGGCAGACGTCGCCTTCTTGATTTCGTCAAAGAGAAGAAGTGCATCTGCCGTTCATCTTGCAGTTGCGCGACTGACTGCACAATGGATGTCCTGCTGCCCTGCCCCTGCTCTGAGCGCATCCTGCGCATCGTGCTGGCCAAGCGCCATGAGGCTGCGGGCGAGCAGGACTTCGGCCCCAGATGCGGCAGTTTGGCCAGAGCCTTCTTTGAAGGATTGGCAATGGTCAGCCGCGAAGTTGCCCACTATGAGCTCGTCGCGGAGCTGCACCGCGCCATGCAGCTCTTCGAAGAAGTGGTGGGCAAGCAGCGCCAGACCGCTGCCACGGGCAGTCGACTCGTCTGAAAGTCCTGATTAACATGGCAACACCGGTTGAGCTGGCAGGTCGTTCTTTCTGTTTCTCTTTTTTTTTTTGTTTTCATTCAATTTACCCTTGATGCGATGAACACCACTTGCAAGGACGGATGACTGGGGGCTTCAAGGGGCAAATCGGAGGCGATGGGTTATGTATCTATCGTATTGGTCAAATATGAAATCCATGCAATCAAACTCGGCGATGACTGGCTCTCGGAGCAAGCTCTGCTACATATTGCTTAATCATTGTCTCTAATGGGTGTTTGGCTGCGCTCAAGCCATAGTGAGCCAGCAATCTCCATCCGGCTTACCAACTCTAATCTCACCGGAGTTTAGGACCAGCGACAAAAAAGAGCGAAGGAAGCAACTTCCCCCAACCGCGAGGCAATCTCAGTGCGCTGAGAGAGTGCACATCTTAATTCACGCGGGCATGGTGACTCAGGATATAGTTACCACGATATTATTGATGATACGCAGCCCACAGTGGACCGCAGCGCGTACAAGAAGCTCGAGGCTAATCCGACCCAGCACGCCTGTGCGGCAGTATCGAGCCGCCGTCTGGCCTTCCTACGGCATCACTACCCCGGTTCCCGATCGTTATCCACATTCAAAGTCTCCGTTCTGCTTCCAGACAGGCTACGCTCTGTGCGCCAAACGGCCGTCGCGCCCATTCCCCCCGCCGTTCCTGTCTCCGCCGTCGTCGTCCTTCTCCGACCCGTTGACCACCCACTACCAGAGTCAGGATAAGAGATTATCCGTCCGGGGTGAACTGGTCCGCGGGCTTAACAATGGCGACGATGCAGTGCTCGTTGCAGACAATTTCATCGGGGTGAACGATGGCGTGGGGGCGTGGGCTACGAAAGAACGGGGTCATGCTGCGTGAGTTCACGACATCAGCCTCCTTTCTGTGCCACTTGAGATTTCATCGCTGACACCGTCCTCAAATAACCAGGCTTTGGTCTCGGCTATTGCTTCACTTCTGGGCCCTGGAGGCCGAACGCGAAGTCGACAAAACCTCAAAACTAGATCCGGTCGAGTACCTACAACGAGCCTACGAGGAGACGATTCGCGCGACGACCTCACCGAATGAATGGCTGGGCACCACAACGACGGTGACGGCGCTTTTACACTTCACTGGTGACAATGCAGGAAATGCAAAGCCCTTACTCTACGTGACCAACTTGGGAGATTGCAAAGTGCTTGTTATACGTCCGAGCGAGGAAAAGGTCCTGTTTCGAACTACCGAGCAGTGGCACTGGTTCGACTGTCCTATGCAACTAGGTACAAATAGTATGGATACTCCGCGGAAGGATGCAGTGCTTTCTGAGGTTCTGCTTGAGGAAGATGATCTCGTGCTGGCCGTGTCTGATGGAGTTCTCGATAATCTTTGGGAACATGAGGTCTTGACGATCACGCTCGACAGCCTCAAAAAGTGGGACGAAGGACATTTTGAAGAGAAGGATCTCCACTGGGCGCCCCCAGCCCACCTGGCAGATGAACGTATGGTGTTCGTAGCCAGAGAGCTGCTCAAAGCTGCGCTGGCTATCGCTCAGGATCCATTTGCAGAGAGCCCATATATGGAGAAGGCTATCGAGGAGGGTTTGGCCATCGAAGGGGGTAGGTTTCGTTAGCCTGCTGTCACATTGCATGTTATTGACAATAATCTAGGGAAGATGGATGACATTAGTGTTGTCGTCGGTGCCTGTAAGAAGAGAGGGCGTTGAGACAACCATTTCAGAGATCCGTTCAACATTCACTACCGGGCCCAACCCGCCTTGCTGTCACGATTGTGACTTTGAGCCTCTCCAAGGAGGTCAGTCCCATAGGAGGACCCTCATCAACAGGCCACATCCTGCGCGCGAGTGCGAGGCCAACTTGGTTCCACCTCCATCACAATTATTGATGTTCGATACCCGGAAATCGTTCAAACGCCCATTTTTATCCACTCCCGACAATTGGATACGCGTTGAGGTCGACTAACGGGGCTCCAACCGGCCATACTTTCTCACGCTACGAGGTCTCGGATATTTTCGCTCTAATGCCCCCAGATGCTATCGCAGTGCTTTGAGCTTTGATACCCTTAATGAAATGAATGATAGATTTGTGATACCTCAGCAGTCCATTGCCTTCGCGTTTGACGAAATTGCACTGTGCATAAGTTACTGTTTAGCTGTATCATATTTTAGCCTCAAATCTCTGTGTCTGTCTCTTTCTTGCCTGTATCATTTTTGAACACATCATTACAATTGTTAATAATAGTATGCTTGAATGTTGTTGACACACTGGGCTGAACGACCCATCGAGCCATGATACAATACTCTGTTGATATCTGAGCACCTCATTTCAACGAGTCTCCGGCTCGGAAATGCTCAACCATAGGTGTCAAAATATACGCTTCTTGCTGGTTTAACTCAAGCCGGACGGACGCAATACGTCCTCTTGGTAAATTGGGGGAATTAGTTCATAGAACCCATTTTCGGAAATCCGCTCATATAAATATCCTCGATGGTCTAACGGTCATGATTTCCGCTTGTCACTCCATTAGAGAACGAGCGCGGGAGACCAGGGTTCGACTCCCTGTCGGGGAGAATCTTTTTATTTTTCCTTCTGTGCCGTCTGCTAATATCATGCGCAGGCTTTTTTAAATCCAATTCTCTTTGACTCAATGTCAGACCAAGTTCGCTCGAGAAGCTATGCCTTAGACCGATCTGGCCGTGATCCGTTTAGTATGTCACTCTAATACATATCATGGCGAGCTCTGGATGGCTTTAGGGTCCGGCCACAGCCAGTCTTACCGTTCCCGATATATATTTCAGATCTTCGATGAGCAACCTTCTTATTCGAGAATGTGAACTGCCTCATTACCCAGACATCTATAAAAGTTTAAGTGGGTTCTGGTGCGAACGCTTCCCCGAATCCAGCACTGTAAGAAGTAAAGTTCCTTGTCTGGCACTGTCCTGGCCTCATCACCCGTTGTTGAGCGATCTTCCGTCAATAGCAAAACACGCTCTGGGCTCATGCCTAGGATTTTGATAACTGTGCTGTGCAGTGGGCAGATCCTATCAGCGGTTCTCAAGGCCCCATGCAATATAGCTTCTGTTACTTGAGCCTCTACAGCACAAGACATTCAACTCAGTCTCATGGTAGCATATGAGCGCAATGCAGGTGTTGACCAGGGGCAGGGCCCTTTCCATCGCTGTTATTTTCCAGGGATATGCTCTCTCACATCACAATCACTTTCCATTCATCTGATCCACGAGAGTGAGATGAGCCCTATAAGATCTTGGTTCGAACTGCCCCGCTTGCTCAGGGGGAATTACGATCTCATACTTCACGGGGAGGGTCTGCGCTGTTCTATCCGAGACTCTACTATGAAATGCTGCCATCGGATGCCTTGAGTCTCGACTACCTCAAGTGCTCCATGGCTAGGACAAGATATTCTACATATTTCTCGGGACACTTTCAGATTACGGCTACTTATACATAAGTGGCCGAGCCACATATTTCGACCCATACATGTAACTTGGCCGAGTACGACAGTTGACCGTCAAGGGCAGCCAGCGACCAGCATGTTGCTCAGTTACATCCATATTACCCAGCGCCATGAAAAAAGGAAACGGCAACATTGGAATACAGATCCGCTGAAGGGTCCAATGAAGTAACAGATATGAGAAAAAATATCTCCCCGACAGGGAGTCGAACCCTGGTCTCCCGCGCTCGTTCTCTAATGGAGTGACAAGCGGAAATCATGACCGTTAGACCATCGAGGATATGAGATGTTAGAATTCCCAATTTTTGACATCATAAGAAAGGGTCTTATTAAAATCTCAAAGATGAGTGCCCTACATCCCAGCCAGTCTTATGAAAGTATTGCGGAACTGTAGCTTGCTTCAGAGTCACAATCAATCGGTCAATGGGTTCGACCGGGTATCTTGAATATGTTAAAAACAAAGGTGTCGGGCTGTATCAACATAAGAAAAGCAAATCATTCCATGCTCGAGTACCCATAGTATAACTTTTGTCTTCCAAAATAGCATTTCCCATTTCCAGCATGCCATCTAGTCCTCGTCCATCGATTCCCAGCCATCCCCGCCCTGCTGAGCACCGATCTCCTCCCCTGCGGCATCATCATCCGATTCATTATCGTCAGCTTGCAATCCGATCGTGCGTTCCTTGACCTCACCCTCGAGGGCGGGCATGCGCGACACGAAAGCCCTACGAACGGCCCCGTTGGTTGAGGTGTCCCAGATCTGAACCGTTCCCTTGCTACCAGCCACCGCGAGCCGGAAGCCGACCTCGTTGTCTGGAGCGAAGGTGGTCGAAAAAACCTTACCAACGTCCATCTTACGCGAGACGACCATGCTAGGTCTGTCGTTCTCGACGTTCCACAGCTTGACTTGCTTGTCGGTTGACCCAGTGACGAGGAAGCCAGGAATGGCCGGGTTTATGTCAAAGGATGACACCGAGGTGTCGTGCGCCTGCAGGGTCCAGACCGGTTTCGATTCCTTTGGCGTTGCAGGGATGTTTCGAACGTCGTAGCGGTAGACCATACCGGCATCTGTGGTGACATAGAAAAAGTTCGGGTCGTGAATATCCCAGCGCACATTCTCGACGTCGGCATCTACTCCCCACCGTGCTTTCGCGTCGGGAGCTCTCATGTCTGCCGCCACCACGGTACGATCGTAACTACCGGTGAGTAGAACGGTGGCTTCCTTAGGGTGCCAGTCCAGCGAGCACACCTTGTCCGTATGATGTGTGTAAGATTTGGCGCACTTGGTAGTGTTGAGGTCCCAGAGTTTTACGGTACGATCAGCGGAGGCAGATGCGAGCAGATTGCGGTGTTGGCGGTTTGCGGCCAAGGCAAGGATGGAGTCGACGTGGAACTCATCGTTCGCCTTGGTCTTCTTCTTGGACTTCTTGGCCCTCTTCATGTCTGCCTCGAGCTCCGCACCGCCCTGACCCAGGATGGCGTTTGGGTACATGCAATCGACAATGTCCAGATCCCAGACCTCAATGTCGGGCTCCATGGTTCCTACAGCCACGAAATTGCCGGTAGTCCGGTCGCCGGTGTTTGCGCCAACAGGGAAATCCAGCCATTCAACGCAAAGAGGGATGGCGGGGAGCATAATGTCGTGGTGCACGTAAAGGTTCGCCTCCTGATCCTCGTAGACGTAGACTTCAAGGTGGGCCACCTCATCCTCGACCCTACCTGCCAGAAGCAAGTTGTCGGTGGGAAGGATCTGCAGCTCCTCTCTCTCCTCGTCCTCTTCTTCTTCCGGCATCACAAGGTATGGATCTTCCTCGTTGGGCTGGTGGTAAGCCAGCGACTTGACGTTTCCGAACATGGTAATCTTCTCTCCATCCTCGTCGACCTCATCGCTGTCGTAGTGATCAAGGTCGTATTCTTTCAAATCATCATCGCTAAACAGAGCGAGATTTAGAGTTAGTCCTGCCGATATTAAAATCGTGGCACTCAAGATTAGCACCTACTTATTGAAACTTGTCTTGCCCTTCTTCTCCTCGGGATCGTCCTCCATTGCGTCTTGAGTCTCCTCCTTCTGATCCTCCATCGTCTCACCGTCCTGGTCCTTTCCTTCCCTGGCAGCGTCCAGATCGCCCTGGGCGTCTTCAAGTTGCATCCGAGCGAGCTTGGATATCCGGTTCATCTCCTCCTCGTCAATCTCATATTTGGTGGGGAACTGGGCAGCGACTCCCCGCCGCACCCAAGCGGTCGTAGTGATCATAGAAGACATCGTAACGTGTTTCCCTCAGTAAATTTTATTTTCCGTGATGTTTGGTATACGCAATGGCTGGTGAGCCACTCAAGTATAAGTCCAGACGCACGTCCAGACACAAGCTTCGCAGCAGTCGACCAGTAGACCGCAACTTCAAATTGATAATTAAAAAAAACCTTACCCCAAAAGGCTATGTCGCTTTCAAGCCAACGATAGATGCATTACCAGACTTTTTCTCTCGCTTTTACTTTTTTTGTGGTCGACTATCCTCCCCGCCCGGCAGAATCCCCTCTCCGGCTCTCACCGCTCGGCATGGCCTTCGGAGATTTCTCAAAGGCCGAGACTATCTTACCATTCGAAGATAGGTCCAAAACTGTTTGTTGGATTAAGTACTTCGACCGTCACAATCAATCGCGGTTCTACTCAATCTACAGATTCATACACAAAATGCATTCCCACCTACATACCCCCTACAATGCGAGTACGTTAACCCGTCATCCTGAAAAATGACAGTAAACTAACGAGGTACCAACAGACTGCGAAGAGATCATGACCGCTCTCGACGAATGTCACGCCCGCGGATTCCTTCACAAAGCCCTGGGCAATTGCAACGATATTAAGCGCGATGTCAATAAGTGCCTCGCTGCGGAGCGGTATCAGCGCGCAAAGAAGAATCGGGACCAGGCTCGGGATAGCCGGAAGCGGATCGAGAAGATCTGGGCTGAGGAAAGGGCTCTAGAGCAGGGTAATTCGCTCAATGGGGAGTCGAAACAGCAATAATGGCTTTGCCGACGGGTTGGAGGTTGACGATTGAGAAGGTGGATGGGGGTTGTTTTGCATGTGGAGTTGTTGTCTTGGTTTGGTGCTAGGCGGCGTTTATGGTCTTATTCTCTCTTCTCATCTTTTGAGTTTACCTGTATATATAGCCTGGACGAGTCATGTCTACATGTCAATGAGACTGACGGATATCACATTGTCTAAATTCAGAATATACATAGCTTGAAGACGGTACTTTTTTAGTGCTCTAGCCAACCAAACGCCTTACCAATGAATATAGATCTGGCTTACGCTGAATAAGGGACAATTATTCGTTTGGAGCCGTTCCAGCCTCCGCCCCGTTAGAGGGCTCACCGGCGTGGTCATCATTTCCATCCCCCCTGGAACTCTTATGGTGGCGCCGTCTTCTCTTCGGTTTGGGTGCGCTTGATTCGCCTTCATCGTTTGTCCTGTCCAGCGCATCGCCTGAATCCTGTTCTTTCCGCTTCTCTTGTTTCGGTCCACTAGCCGTTTCTGCTGTTTTCTTCTTGGGTTTCTTCACACTCAAGGGATTAGGCCCTTTGGCCTTCTTCGACACTCGCTTCTTCTTCTTTTCCTCACCGTCCTCGGTCCGCTTTCTCTTGCCTAACACTGCTTCATCATTCAACCCCGCCCGGAACTTGCTGTTTTCGACCCCGTCTCGTACTTCTTCGGACGGCGTGCTCATTGGTTCGAGAATCATGACGGACCGTTTCACATAAACAATCGGTACACCGGGGATAGACCGGGCCCCAATACGCAACTTTTGAGCCCGTCGCAGCGCATCCCGAGCCTGGTCATCACCTCGCTTTCTCTTCTTCCCGTCTCCAGAGTCGGCCTTGTCGGGGGCAGGAGGGTCTGCAGTCGCGAGAGTATAGTGCTCTTTATTCCGCTTGGCTTCCTTGGAAGGTGACAGTAATGAAAGCAAGCATTCCACTTCGTCAATAGGTGTTGAGTCTTCGTTGTGCGAGCAGTGCCGCAATGGGAGGATCGTGGGTGGAGGAAGGTGCATTGGGCGGTAGGGATTGTTGGTTTTTGGGTTGATAGGTTGAGATGCCATGATGGCCGCCAGGGAGCATTTCGTCAATACTATTAATCGGTATGTTAGCCCGTCGGTCCGTTGTCCGCTCGTGGTCAGACTCTGGATTCGAAGACATACATGGTTTGACTTTTCCTTGAAGTGTACGTTCAAGTGCAGGAATCAGTTCCATCTTGAATGAATGGACAGCGCGAAGGAAATTCGAGTCAACTGGACAGGTTCAAGTGTTAGTATTGAAGACCATTTAAATGCAGCGATACGTCTTTGCGAAGGTGTAATACCCAAGACTTGATATGGTTCGCGGAAGCCAAATGCCATCTCATACTGATGCATGAGCTTGCGATATTTCTTAGAGCGTTTGGCCCTCATTTTGAATGAGTGTTGATAAGCCTCTAAACACGGGAAAGAGCGGTGATATGATGGTGATTTTGCGAGCTCTGACTACGTCCTACCTGATCGAATCTTTTTGGACGGTCTCTTTTTTTTTCTGCCGGGCGGAAGACGTGACTGCTTTAGATGTGGTCAATGCTCGGCGATAACGATAGGCAGATGAGGCACCGACTGGCGTGAAGACAGCAATTGTCTGGAAGTCTACTCAGAGATTCTCTGCATCCTAATTACCGCCAATCTGCTTGCTTCTTTATGATATATGATATATTTGTGACCAACTAGCCACCTATTGAACCTTCGTATGGATTGGAGCTGTTTGACTCTCTGGTCAACCACAAAGTTGACAGGCTACAGAGTTCGTTATATTACTTTTCATTGACCTCTCGGACTCAAGGATATAGCTTCTTAAACAATGGGATAATTTAGAATGTGCAGACTGGACGGGCGGCGGTGTCCAGATTGATCAGATTTCATCTGATGCAAGAAGTTCTGTTGTCAAGCTTATGAGGACTATGTAGGAACAGCCAATGGAAAAAGCGTTTCCCCCGAATTCTTGACCACTTGATTTCTTTTCTGTATCAGACCGTTTGTGTGAATGAGAAGGGCCGAAGGGTTACATTTAGCGAACGATGTCCATGCCTTTATCTGTAAGGGAAGCGAACCATCAGCCTATGCGGCGAGAGATACCTGTACATACATTGGAACCCTCCCTCTGACTACTTTATTGAGTCTTAGTAAATGGAAGTGAACACCTTTGGTTGAACTCAAGAAGCGTTGTCCTCTTTGAACAATGGGGCATTGGTGATGGCGTGTGTGAGCATCCCCAAATGATGAAGCATGACTAGGATTATAGACTACAGCTCATCGCCGAAGGAGTTCTGAATGGGTTTCCACCCAAAGCTGGCGACGCTGAATGATCTCAGCACAGGACTGTCTAGGTACTGTGCCAGTTGGTCTGCCAGCCACATGTTTGTGGGAGAACAAGTACCGGCCTCAGCAATCAAAGATTGCATGTATCACATGCAAGGGACAAGTCCATCATTCTTCTTCCTCATCCACTTCTTACTTCAGTCACTCTTTTGTTGTCCAGAATGCTCTAGGCAACCCCAGTCTACATAAGAGATTTGACTTGAAATTGAGTCTGGTCCACGAAAACAGTAGCCATGTTCATGCAGGTGCTATCTACAGCGCACTGACTGAGGACAGCAAGCCTCGAGCCAAGGGGCGCTCTGCTAAGTTTTTCCCACAGCGGGGCAGACCCACCATATCCGATTGACCCATCGTTTAAATCCGCCTGGTCACTGAGATAAGGGTCTTGGATGAGTGATTCCCTCAGATGACTTTGAAATCTGTGCAGCCCATTCAGCAAGGGTCAAACTAGGGAAGCTTAAGACTGTGAAAGAAACGATAGCCTCGAAGAGCTGCAGAATGCCTTCAGTCAGTTGTCATGCGTCACAGTCGAGAACAGAGTGCTCAGCATGAGACAAGTCACCCGGCAGGATTGTTTCATCTTGACTGGTCAGCGGTCGAGGGGCGGCACATGGCCCTTCTTACAGGCTGTCGTGTGGTGGTTCCTGGCGCCAGGCCAACACCGTTGCTTGACCTTTCGACTAGGCTAGCAGACTAAGGCACTGTAGTATTCATGATTCGACCATACGATGTTACCAGCCGCTGCATTGTTCATAGAAGGACAGCAACCATGCAAGGAACATATAATCTAAGTAGCAACGGATAATGGAGACAGCATTAGGCATTTGGCGTCTCCTGAGGGGAAATAGGAAAATGTTACTAGTGCAAAGCCTAACTACCGTGTCATCTTAGAGTTGAATTCAAAGTACCACTTTCCTGCAGATGAGAGACTGATCTTTTGTGACCATGAATTCAAATCCTCCTCCACGTAAGATAATAGTGGAAATGTGACTGCGTAACAAGTGTAGCAGACAAAACGATCAATCCTCTGGTATCTCGGACACATCGAATTGTATAGTGCGATTTAGCGCGTCGAAACCGCCAACAATTCGAGGAACCAGAGACTGACTCGCAGCGCCAATCCGTCGGAGCACCGGAGAAATAATCGATTCACCTTCACTTGAAGAAGAGATAGATACCTCAGAAGATGAAGAATTAGAATAATATAATTGAATGATCCTGAGCATCTGGAAGCCCAGGTTCCATGGTACCAGACACTGAGAGAACCGCTGTTCGTGCTGATCTCGCCATAGGAAGAACCAGGAGAACAAAAATATCGCACTGGGCAAAACGCAAGGCAAATATTTCCTTCCTATCCCTATTCTTAGCTATCCAGTGAACCCAGCCAGCTGTCAAGAGAATTTCATCAAACAAACTGCGTAGAGCCCAAAGGGTAACGCTGGAAACTCTGACAGTTGGCGCAGTGTCTGTTGGCTAAGGTAAAGTACTTGCCTCCACGGTTTGTGCTGCGGGCTCTGGAAACTTTGAAGATCCACCGTAAGGTACAGGCTGAAAATCTGGACAGCCAATCCTGAGGCCAACAGCCAGAGGGCCTGAAGGGAGTCTTTTTAGGGTCCTCCGTACACTGGCTGGAGTCGTCACTGGACTGGATCCTCCGACCGAACAGCCCAGAACCATTCTATCCCATACTTTGTTCACTCGCCTCTGCTGATTTCCCTTTTCTCCTTCTCCTCCTCCATTCCCTCCCTCTTCTCTCCCTTCTGACCACTCCTCCCTGGGGGACTATCCTTCTTCATATTATTCATGTTATATTATTGACTTCTTTTTTATATCCATTGATGGACTTTTTTCTTCTTCCCTAGAT